CAAATGATGAAACAGCTTATGACGCAAGTTGCCAACGTTATACACATCTTAACCATCCTAATCACCAAATTCAATGGACAAAAATAAATTCCAAAATTCCTAATTATTCAATATATTATACATATCATTCTGACAAGAAGATACAATATATTATAGACAATATACAAGCTACAAGTGTGCACATTCAAGATACGAAAGGCCAGTTAACAGTACTATGTAATGTCTTTCGAAATACAATAACTCGAAAGATACTTGAACTATCTTAATATTCTTGCCAATCAGTATATTGCTCTTGCAGAGTTTAATGTAAAAAATACTTTAAGCGACTTAAGAATTACAAACAGTAAAGAAAAAAATTAAGATAATGCAATCTTTGATAAAAAAGCAGACATCTTCACCACAGGTGTATTCTTACTGAGCTGCCTCAACAAGTACTTTTATACCTGAGGAACGTAATTAATTTCGTTCTTCACCTTAAGTATTTTCCAAAAGTATGAAAAGTATAAAAAGTAATAATTAAACCCAAACCAATTAAAGACATACCCCTTACAATTTCATGTAGACCAATTAGTCTACTACCAGTTATATCAAAATTTTTTGAAAAAATTCCACGAAGAAGAACTTATTCCTGATCATCAATTTGGCTTTCGGAAAAAATATTCGACTATACAACAAGTTCACGGTGTTGTAAATAAAATAACACGTGATACTAACTTAAAACAAGTTTCCTTTTCGGTATATCTAGACATTGCAGAGACCTTCGACAACGTTTGGCATGGGGGTCTCCTAACCAAATTATCCCAGCTACTCCCAACTAACTTTTACCTCATCTTAAAGAGCTATTGTCTAAATAGATATTTTTATGTGAAGTATTACCAAATTCAATGGACAAAAATAAATTCCAAAATTCCTAATTATTCAATATATTATACATATCATTCTGACAAGAAGATACAATATATTATAGACAATATACAAGCTACAAGTGTGCACATTCAAGATACGAAAGGCCAGTTAACAGTACTATGTAATGTCTTTCGAAATACAATAACTCGAAAGATACTTGAACTATCTTAATATTCTTGCCAATCAGTATATTGCTCTTGCAGAGTTTAATGTAAAAAATACTTTGAGCGACTTAAGAATTACAAACAGTAAAGAAAAAAATTAAGATAATGCAATCTTTGATAAAAAAGCAGACATCTTCACCACAGGTGTATTCTTACTGAGCTGCCTCAACAAGTACTTTTATACCTGAGGAACGTAATTAATTTCGTTCTTCACCTTAAGTATTTTCCAAAAGTATGAAAAGTATAAAAAGTAATAATTAAACCCAAACCAATTAAAGACATACCCCTTACAATTTCATGTAGACCAATTAGTCTACTACCAGTTATATCAAAATTTTTTGAAAAAATTCCACGAAGAAGAACTTATTCCTGATCATCAATTTGGCTTTCGGAAAAAATATTCGACTATACAACAAGTTCACGGTGTTGTAAATAAAATAACACGTGATACTAACTTAAAACAAGTTTCCTTTTCGGTATATCTAGACATTGCAGAGACCTTCGACAACGTTTGGCATGGGGGGTCTCCTAACCAAATTATCCCAGCTACTCCCAACTAACTTTTACCTCATCTTAAAGAGCTATTGTCTAAATAGATATTTTTATGTGAAGTATTACGACTTAATCTCCGAACTTAAACAAATGAAAGCTGCTGTGTCGCAAGGTAGTCTACTAGTTGCTGTACTAGTTGCTGTACTTAATCTCCGAACTAATTGCTGTATACGGCTGATATCCCGATACCTTCTGATCATCAGAATTTGATAGCAACTTTTGCAGACAATATAGCACTAACTGCAGATAATATAAATTTTAACAAATCCACAGACAACTGGCAAAATTACTTAAACGCGACACTGAAATGGTGCGACAAATGGAAAGCTCAAATAAATACAAGCAAAACAGTACATGTTATCTACACGAATAAAAAATACGACCTAACCCAGTAGAAAAAGTGGTCTTCGAAGACATTGTCTTCAAGACGGTCTTTGATACCGCGTCCGCATTTTCAAGCAAATTTGCAAAACAATTGCTCAAAACATGAATACTCTTTCTTTGCTTTCTCTCACATTTTTAGTGTTCATAGCAACGTATTTGAATTTTGCCTCAGATGACGCTATGTTTTATAAATGAAGTGACGCAATAATTTTGAAGTGAAGTGTGAATATTAAAAAAATCAAAATAAATAAAGAAACAAAATCATTAAACTACGAAATATTAAAAAAAGAAATTAAATCAAAACAAATTAAATAGTGACTTAGTTCCTGGAAAATATATTGATATTAATATTGAAGACAATAATTCCAGTGAAATTTGTTTAAGAAACGAAACAAAGGATGTTGAAAATAAAAAAACACAGGATTAACAGGCGTTGTAGTAATGATATTTTAGAACTCTTAAGATCAGAAGGTTTAATTGTACCAAAATCCTCTTCAACGCTTTTGAAAGCATATAAAACTTCAACAATTGATGATAGCGAAATGCTATAAATTCTTTTATATTAGTTTTAGTTAATTTTAGATATGCTAAGTTATATTAAGTTAATTATTTAAATTAATTTTCATTATGTTTACTAGTTTTTACTAGTTTATTATTAATATCTTAATAAAATTTATAATAATTTATAATAAAATTTATAATTTATTTTTAAAACTTTTAATTTTGAATGTAATTTAAGAAATTATTATATAAAATAAATAAAAGTACAAAATACAACAATTTCTTTCTACTTATTTAAAGAGAAAATTGAAATTCATTTAAAATTTAAAGAGCGCAATAAAAGAGTAGAAATAAAAAAAGGTTGAAAAAATTATATGAGCACTGCACTAAGAGCGCACAACTTTCTGTCGAATGCGTCCGTTATGCAAGACATGGTCTTCGAGACGGTCGTCGAGACATGTACACAAAAATTTATTGAAGACATTTGGCTAATTTGTATGAAAGTGTCTTCGAAGACCGTCATACATTTGGATCGATCGGTCTTCATGTATGTATCCATGTCTTGAAGACGTCTTCGATGACGGATCGATCCGTTTTCTACTGGGAAAGCATATAAAAAAGATGATGTCTTTACACACACAAAGGCAAATTACATTGGTATTACTATAGATAACAGATTAACTTCCCAGTAGAAAAAGTGGTCTTCGAAGACATTGTCTTCAAGACGGTCTTTGATACCGCGTCCTCATTTTCAAGCAAATTTGCAAAACAATTGCTCAAAACATGAATGTAAATACTCTTTCTTTGCTTTCTCTCTCATTTTTAGTGTTCATAACAACGTGTTTGAATTTTGCCTCAGATGACGCTATGTTTTATAAATGAAGTGACGCAATAATTTTGAAGTGTAGTGAAATAAATATTAAAAAAATCAAAATAAATAAAGAAACAAAATCATTAAACTACGAAATATTAAAAAAAAAGAAATTAAATCAAAACAAATTAAATAGTGACTTAGTTCCTGGAAAATATATTGATATTAATATTGAAGACAATAATTCCAGTGAAAGTTGTTTTAGAAACGAAACAAAGGATGTTGAAAATAAAAAAACTGAAAACACTTGTGAAAAATTAGCTGTTATATTTAAAAAACACAGGATTAACAGGCGTTGTAGTAATGATATTTTAGAACTCTTAAGATCAGAAGGTTTAATTGTACCAAAATCCTCTTCAACGCTTTTGAAAACATATAAAACTTCAACAATTGATGACAGCGAAATGATATAAATTATTTTATATTAGTTTTAGTTAATTTTGGACATGTTAAGTTATATTAAGTTAATTATTTAAATTAATTTTCATTATGTTTAATTTAATTTATTATTACTGTCTTAATAAAATTTATAATAATTTATAATAAAATTTATAATTTACTTCTAAAACTTTTAATTTTGAATGTAATGCAAAAAATTATTATATAAAATAAATAAAAGTAAAAAATACAACAATTTCTTTCCACTTATTTAAAGAGAAAATTGAAATTTATTTAAAATTTAAAGAGCGAAATAAAAGAGTAGAAATAAAAAAAGGGTGAAAAAATTATATGAGCACTGCACTAAGAGCGCACAACTTTCTGTCGAATGCGTCCGTTATGCAAGACATGGTCTTCGAGACGGTCTTCGAGACATGTACGCAAAAATTCATTAAAGACATTTGGCTTATTTGTATGAAAGTGTCTTCAAAGACCGTCATACATTTGGATCGATCGGTTTTCATGTATGTATCCATGTCTTGAAGACGTCTTCGATGACGGATCGATCCGTTTTCTACAGGGTATCAAATTAAAAGTAATAAAATTAAGCTTCGTTTTGGACAATTGTACTGACTAATATGCTCATTACCAAAACTAACAGTGAAAAAAACAACTTCTAATTACAAAACGGCAATCGCTTTAATATGGAAATGTTGAGCCGAAATATGCGACAAAACATGCAAATCCAACATGTAAATACTGCAAAGACTGCAATCAAAAATACTTAGGACTATCATCAACGCTGACTGGCACATCTCAAACTATGACATTCATCGTGACTTAAAGATACTTTTTGCCGCAGACGTGATCCCAAAAAATAAACGGTATTTCCATCAGCATACTTCTAAAATAATAATCCATAACTAGTTACCTAATATGCTCGTATTACAATCTTAATCTATTTATTGACTCGTCTGTTTCTTCTAAAATTTAAATATCTTATTTAATTTGGACAAGTTTATATTATTTATTGTTAATAGTTCATACATGTAATTCGTAATATTGATTTGAATTATTATTGTAATTTCCACTATGTAAAAATGAATACTAGATGCTAAATCTTGGTAGTTGTGTAAATAAAAGGAAGCAAAACAAAAGAAAAACAAATAAATTTATTATTGCAATGAAAACAATAATTTATATATTTAATTTTATTTATTTGTTAAATAAATAAATATATTTACCAGAAATGTTATCACAGAGTATACGAGATGTAATTATTTTACCAAACGATGCAAACATTGCTTCCAAGTCTGGTTGCGAAAGATTTTTGGGAAGACCCGATACATACAAATTAGCACCCTTAATTGATTCCGAACTTGGACGGGCATACGACACTTTTATCACCTTATTTTGTAAGCGGAGACCATTTAACGTATTTACAGCTTTTTCAGCATCTTCTGCACGAACGTAGTTAACAAAACCATAACCCAAACTTTGGCCTAAATAATAAAAGAATGTTATTGAAATACCGAATCTCTTGCTGTCGCCAAGTGACGATATCGTTATACTAAAATTTTGCAACTATTCGTAAATAGTATTGAACACAAAACTTACTCCTACCTTGTTGCAATGCTGGATTAAGTGCTGTTAAAGACGCTGGCAATACTGAAAAGATGATTTATTATGAATATCATTATCAGCTTACTATCACCTACATGATGTATATATACAGAAAAAAGAAATTAATATTTACCCATATTACCTGAGACTTTATCACGCACCAATTTGCAACTTTCAAGCTCACCAATGCTTGAGAACAGAGAACGCATCTCCTCTTGAGTCATAGTTTGCGGTAAATAGTTAACAATCAAGTTGGTGCGCGATTCGTCAGAGTTCCCATCAATAGAGCCGTTGGTGCTTCCATTTTTCACAATATCCATGGCGTTAGTCATTTTTTTTTGAGTTCTTTGTTGAAGTGTAATTTTGAAGCTTTTATAAGGAGCAATCGCACTAGATAATTTTAATGTTTCGTCTTTGTTCTTTAAATATTTGCTACACTTTAAATTCTAGCTTAGTAATTAATCTCACTGCTTTTATTTAGAATGAATAAAATATCATATTTATTAAATAACTTTTTAAGCTTATATAAAATAGAGCTTTTATTTCGTTTTGCACAAGCCCCTTTAAAAAAAAGTTACTAATAACTCTATAGAGTTTTCATACCTCTCTTTACTAAAGTTTTTATATTGAATTAGAGATATTAAGTTTTATTTAATGCTTTCAAAATTCAAATAATATTTGAATTACATATCCACAGTATATACTAGAATGCAGTTTAATTGCAGTTCTAAAGAATGTTTATGTGAATTAGTAGATGTATTTCATTTTGTTTATAATATATAACACATTAGTATATACGTTTCTTTTCAGGTTTTTTTTGTTATAAAATTGCAAAAATGCTAAAGACAGCAAAATCTTTATTTTAGAAACAGTTTTTGTTTTAAAACATTTTCGTTCTAATAAATCGTATTCTTTTTAATTCTAATTTTATGGAACATTACCACTTAATGTCAATATATGTGTATATGTTACTTTTCATGTTTATTTTTTATATTAATATGACTATTGCATACTTTTTATTAACTTTTGTTTAGTAGCTGGTTTTTTGGTGGTGTTAATATTTATAATCTGGTATATTTATAATCTTTTTCCTTTAAGTGCAGGAAGTTCTCGATTGGTGTCAGATGTTATGAATCTAAAATTAAACATTTGAAATTTAATTAAAAACCATTGGAATAGTATAATATATCGAAGTTTGGTTTACAAAAAAATAACAAACAAATTTTTAAGCAACTAACAATTAACTCAAATTTTGTAAATAGTTACTTGTTTTAAAATACATAGTATTCTTGCTCACAGTACATTATCTGATCGAAGTTTCTCTTGGTTCAACATTGTATGGAAAACATAATGTAATATGATATGTGTATGAGACCACACATATCACAAAACATTCAAGTGTCCCGAATAATTTTAATTAAATATTGACACAGTTTTATTTTTAATAAAATTAACGACAAATTATTGTCCAGTAATATGAGCTTTGATGACAAATAACTGAGCCGCACATTTCATCATATGTTCAATATGCATAAGTCAAAACTGTGTCAATAGAATAAACGGTTTCAAGTGAAACCATATGTGGAACACTTGCGTTGTCAGCTAATACCATTTATTGATAAGATATTATATACGTCTAATTTGGGTTAAACAATTAGTATTGTTTCTATTGGTTTAAGTATTAACCAATAGAATCAGTACAAAAGATTCTGAAAAGGGTGACAACAGCTTAGATGCTTTTGATAGAATTGAGTACAGACGTAGCGTCGACTCAAATGGAGCTTCTCCAAGTCAAGTACGCGATTCTTGGATTGATTACAAAAAAATAAGCAGTTTAATACATTGATTCTTCTATTGAAATGAATAATATATCTGCAATTTACAATAAAATAAATTAATAAATTAACAATAATAAAATGCAAAATCAATAATTAAAATAAATCAATTATAAATTGCAAATTACACAAAAAATAATAATACTTATATATGAAAATATTATAATTGCAACTAAAACAACGTGGAGTTCATTTGCTGACTTCGCAAAAATGCAGTTCAAAGCAACTTTTATTATTAATTGCTTTGAACTGCATTGTTACGAAAGAATAAGTCAACGAATCAGTCAGCCTTGGCATTGGTTTCGGTTAGGAAATGAATGCAAGCCTATCATATAGTTCGTTGACTCGTTAACAAATTCTATTGAAAATCAGTGTTAAGAAACTATGTTAGATTTAAGATTTTTAAAAGAAATAAAATCAGTCTTTCCTAGACACTTGAAACAAACGCGTCTTTTATTTGTACGAGTAATAAACTTTACATGGCGTTCCTACCAAATTTCAAAGGCAAAAATCAAGTGAACAAATTTCTAAGACCCAAAATTAAGTGAACTATATGCCAAATTTCTAAAGCAAGGTCCAAAAATAAAGTGAACTTTAAAAAATTATATTAATAAATTTCATGTTAAAACTAATATTATGTGAATAAAACTAAAAATAAAACTGTAATACAAAAATTAATGGATGTAATGAATAATTAATATGAAATGTGATGTGAAAAATGTAAATGATAAACATGCGAAATGTGAAATGCGAAACATATGAAATTAACTAATTAACTAAATTAATTAACTGATTAACTGAATCAACTGATGTGAAGTGCGTATAATTAATAAATTTATGCAAAATGAATCTACTTACAAAATTCCACTACAAGCGTTAGAAAAATTATAATAAAACAATATATTTAAAACGAACTAACTAATGTGAAGCACGTATAAAACTCGGTACAAAATTTTAAAACAACAACAAGAAAAAAAGGACAGAACAGGTTCTTCAACAACTGGAACATGGGTTGGTTCTCAGCAGATACACCGGAACAAACGGTAAACAACAATCAAAATCAGATTTTAAAAGTCAATATGCCGAAACAACAGGTAGCATAAATTACTGTAACAATAATAATATGTATCATATACAGGCATAAGTCTACAAGCAGGCAGTATAAAAAAACTTTGTTTGAAAATATTTTCCAAAAAAATCAATTTATTGGAAACATACTTTATTGTTTTTTTAAAACACTCAATGCACAATGTTTTCGCGAAGTTTCTTTGCATTTGTTTCAAAAACAACCGAGATAACGGTACTATTATCGTAAAGAGTAGAAAAACAAGCGATCAAAAGTCTACAAGCACTTGGTATTTCTGAAGTTCTATGGCGAGTTAAATGTTAACTGGTAATAATCTTGATTGCGTCTTACTGTGTTTTGTAGTATTTAATCATAAAACTGCAAAAAATTGTATTCTGCTTAAAATATTACTAAAAAATGGCAATGGTGTCTCACCGGAAAGAAATAAGCGTCATTGAAGGAAAAATCATCATACAATTTTAGGAGAAAGAGAAGTCGAACCGGGAAATTGGACATTTGTTTGGAAGATCATACTGTTTGGTCCATACCGTGATCAGAAATTGGAAAACTACCGGAATTATCACGTCAAATCCGCGTTCTGGCCGCCTATCACCGTGAAATCCGCTTAATATCAAATTCGGTAATGAAAAATCCACGTTTGACGGCATTAGAAATTGTACGTAATATACAGGAAAGCTTTGCAAAAAATATTTCTGTGGTTACCGCACGCAGTATTTTGAGGCGAGCCGGTGTTCATGGTAGAGTAGCACGAAGGAAGTCTTACATATCTCTAATTAATCGAAAGAAGCGCATTGCTTCTGCAAATGAATATGTAGATATGCCGGAAGAGTTTTGGAATAATGTGGTTTACTCCGACGAATCCAAGTTCTGTGTTTCTAGCATTTAAGGATGTGAATTAGCATTAAACAAAATCTTTTCCCAACTATAAAACATAGAGGTGGTGCAGTGGTGGTCTGGGGTTGTATGGCAGCTAATGGTACGGAAAATGTTGAATTTGTGGAAACAACAATGAGTAGAGATATTTATCTAAACATTTTGAAGAGTAATATACGATCAAGTGCTGACAAATATTATGTACATGTTATGTACATAAGTATGCTCACCAACAGCAAATGTCTAATGTTTGAGAGTACAAAATAATGTTATTAATTAAAATTATATCTTTTTATGTAAAACTATATATTGTTTCTACTATATATATGAAATATTTAATAAAATATATATTTATAAATGAAAATAATCAAAATTTTTGATTACATAAAACCATGTGTTATATGATAATAAATTTATATGTTCGAATAAATAATGTCTGTAATCTGTAACTGAATTATATACAATTTTATTAAAACTTCGTTTGACTATTTTTTAATTGGTTGATTTGATTTATAATTATAATTGTCGTTTTGGTGCATCGATAACTAAAACTCTTTTTCTATTAAGTCATTTGATCCGTTTGGTTGTGTCAGTAATGTCGTTCACTTCGTTCGTTTCAGTATAAAATAGATCTTATATAAAAACCCAATACAAGTTTATGATTTAGTGAATGGAAACCATTACCGAATGTATATCTGAGGTATATATCATATTAAGAAACGCGAAGAAATCTGCTTCGCACATTAAGTGAAAAATTGAGAAGATTAGAATATATGTCAAATAAGGTTAAAACAATTTACCCAACTTCCAAGTTTGAAAAAATAACTTCATTAGCAGAAACATTTTTCGACATGTATAACTTGACTAAACAATATCTATTAAGTATGTCTACAAATGAAGATATAATAAGCCAGGAAAATTACCATAATAATACAAGTACCATGGAAAAATCACACTACGAGACTGTGGAAAAACTCGTACCAACTTTCACTGGTAAAGTTGAAGAGTTAAACAATTTCATACACAGATTGAATATAATTTATGACAAATTATGTACTTTTGACAGGCAAGCGTTTCTAGATTTTATAGTAGAATGCAAATTACAACATTTAGTAAGAGCTAAAGTCAGCCCCGTAGGAATCCCAGATTCACTTGAGGAGTTAATAGAGAATCTTAAGAAAAACTTCATATCAAAGGACACCATACCTTAACTGCTGCAAAAGATAGCAGAAGTAAAACAAGGTCCCCATCAGAAAATACACGAATATGCTGAGAAAATATCGACCATTCTAGCGAATTTAAAAAATGCGACGTTACTAAAGAATAACTTTAGGAAGTCATCCCCAGAAGGAAAGGCTGTACTTCTGGTAAATGATGAAACAGAATTATTAGCATTTAAAAAGGGATTAAATGCTCTTTATTCACAAACTGTACAGGTAGCTCAACCAAAGACCTTTATAGAAGCTATATTGTTTGCAGAAAATATGCACATACCAATGCAACAACAAGTCTTTTTTACCCAAAAACGTTTTCAAAGTCAAAAAAAATACGACAACCATAGAGTAATCGAAAATAGATTCAAATATAACAATTCTCAAAATAGAAGCAATAATGTGAGAAACTTTAATAGAAACAGACACAACTCGTGCTCTAACAATACTTCAAACGTTGAGAATCGAAATGGAACAAGATACAATAATACAACTGGGAATCCAAGAAGTCAATTCAATTCAAACCAAAACAGGCGTGGACGGATTCTAAATGCCCAGGAAAACTACTCAGAACCAGAGGACAACCTAGAAAACTCTCCTCTAGTACATCATTAAAAATTTTCAATATAAACCCTAATATACAAATTACGTGATAGTATTTTGTAATACTATTATTAAAAATTTATAACTTCTA